TCTTAGAGGTCTTTTCCAACCTTAATGATTCTATGGTTCTATGAATGTGGCTTTTCCGTAAACAGGACATTCTAGTGGCTGCCAGTAAGACGGGAGCTGTACCTGTCCCTCAGTGGAGCAGAAATAGGAACTTGTGCTTTGCCTAGTTCACTCACTTTCACAAAACTTGTAAGATTTTAAAATATATTTAACATAAATCAAATATGTTGGTCATTGATTAAATTTGGTTAAAATTGGCCAAATGGCTTAAAAGTTATCATAGGAATAAACAGGCGTATTTTCTAATAGCACACTTACATAATTCTTACATAAGCCTGGCATCCTTAAAAACAGGCATTCTTACATAAGCCTGGCATCCTTAAAAACAGGCTAAAATTTGGTGTATAGAAGAAAATGCTGTTATGGTTGGAATAGTATAGAAAAGGCAGAGTTGTAATAGCTTCCCACTAATCACACTGGATCTTGATCTGTCTGGGACAGGACCAAACAGCAGAGAAAATCCTTCCATCTGCTTGAGTATTGCAAACAGCAGAGTTTTGCCACCAACAGGGTTTTCAGGATCTGCTGTAATGGGATGTTTCAGTGTCCTGGAAACAAAAGGCAAGTGACAGAAAGCCAAGCACTTCAGTTTCCCACATGTCACTTGAAAGGAATTAATTCTGGAGGCCAACCACAATGTAGAGAAAGGCCTGATGCCTTCAAATGTCTTTTCAGTGATGTTCCCACCTGGAGCTCAGGTGTCAGGTGCAGCCTGCAGCACTTCTTTTCCCACTTATGGGGGGTCTCAATCACAAATCCAACGGTAAAGACCTTGTTTGGGTGCATGGCTGCATATACGTGGTGACAGTCCCAGGCACAGAGGGACCAGCCTAAGGCTTGACTCTGGTTAGCTCTTCCTCAAACCCTTTAGGAGGACTTAGGTGAGGTTTAGGATTGGGAGAGACTGTGTGCCTGGGCCTCTTTGCAGGAATTCATTTCAGCTATAATAAGGTAATTCAAAATACCAACAACTGTGACTTTCTAAAAAAGCATTTCTAAGCATTTTATCTCAGGCTTTAGGGTAAAATTCTGGTCCTATTAAAATCAGAGGAATTTTGTCATTGATTTCTTTCATCAGGGTGGCAGTCTTTGTTTCCGTCATTGCGAATGAAACAGGCATTTCTGTTCATGTTCGCTCCATTGCATTTCAAGTGAAACCCTAAGAAATTATGTTTGAATAGAAATAATAGCTGGAATCCCCAGTTTTAGTGCCTGTACTTTGGATTTGGCCACAGACATGCAATGTTAGCAGCTGGAAACCATGTGCCATAAAATCCATGTGATTTTTTTCTTAAAGATTTGCCGATGTTGTGTCAATGCCATGCACTGCCTTGCTGTGCGTTAGCTGCTGTTGTGCTGTTCTACAGAGAGCGCAGTGCAGAACACATGCTAAGTGAAAGTGATAAGCAAAAATAGTAGAGGCACATGACAGAGAGAAGCAGCTACTCGGGTCATGAGGAGGAGGAGATGAAAGTAAAAGCAAAAGATGTGCCTTTTCTGAGAAAAAATGGGAGAATTGGGAAAGTGTAATGAGTATTAAAAGGCTGAAGTCTGAAGATAGATTTTGACCAAAGTAAAGAGAATAGAAACTGGAAGGAAAATGAGGAAGAAAAAAAAAAAAAGTAGGTTTTCCCACCCGCGTTAGTCCCATTGCATTTCCAGAAGGAGCCAGTAGGAAACTGTCTGTGTGCAGAGCAGCTCTGCAGAGGGCCGGCCCGCGCCAGCCCCCTCGTCTCTGCCAGCTGGAGGGATGCATCAGGCAGAAGAGAGAGCAGCGGGAACAAGACCTCTTATCTGATGTAATGCAGCGAGACGCTCCTTAGCTACTCGAGGTTGTGTCTGAGGTGGGCAGAGCAGTGTTAGGCATCTGCAGCCAGCTTTTTGGAAGCTCTCATTCCCTTCCTCTACCGCGCCTCTAAGTTCTTAGCAGAGAAACCCTCCTCCAATTTTTAGCTGGGTGGACTTCATTTTTTCTGCCACTTTATTTTGCACTGTTGAATTTTCCTTGGAGAGATATCAATCTGGAGTAACTGCATCCAGCTAGGAGAATTATCTTTTGCCATTGCCATTCCAGGGGCCATTTCCAGTAATGGAAAAAATATGTAGAAAGTAGCCTGAATTGCCCCAGAATGGCTGTGCTCGCTGCTGTAGGCAGCAGGTGTGCTTGTTTGTTGACCAATTCTTTAAATGTTAACGTTCATGCAGAGTTCCTAAGAAAATCATCTGGGGCCCATGTGTTCATCAGAGGAGGCTGAGGATGGTCTGAACATTTGGGATGATATTGAATCATCTCAGGAAGCTTCCTCACAACCTTAATTATTGTACACTTAAGAGTGGATATGGAACCTATAGCGGAAAACACAGTATTAAAATGTTTTTCAGGCATTCTTGAGTTGGCAGTTCTTAAATGTGAGTGCTTGAGCTCGTGGGAGGCAGTGTTCACCTTGCGCTTGCTGAAGAAGTCTCTGCTTAAATCCACTTCTACCAAGTTAATATGCTCTGTGTGTCATGAGTGGGGCAAAGAACAGCATCTTGGGCAAAAATCAACACGATAAATCAGCTCCACAACTGTCTTTGATCTTGAGTAAGTCCTGTGCTGTAAGTACAGTGCTCTAAGTCCAGCCTAGACCACGGTCAGTGTTAGTCAGCATCGAGGAGCCAGCACTCTCTAAAAAGGGGTTTCAAAATGTAATTAATTACTCCTCACAGCAATGAGCCCATAAACATGAGGCACCTTTCTTAGCAAGTTGGGGCAAGTGTAGGTGCTCTGCAGGCCCTGGGAAGATGCAAAGCTCATGCTGGAGGGGAACAGAACCTATATTGGGGGAAAAGGAAGGTGAAGTAAGTAAGCCACTAATTCAGTCAATAAGAGATGACGTCTCAGGGCAACCAGTCTCACTGAACTGAGACCTTACTGTGGGATGCATTGACCCCATGGGGTGCCTCATTGGCACCTGCCTTTCTCAGTGATAGTATAGGGAGGTGTGTCTAAGGACTTGAACCCTGACTTTTGGCCGTGTAAGGTTAGGTGAAATCAATCCTGCCCAAAGAATAGCCAGTTTTTGACCACTTTTGTAAAGTCTAGTTGGTCATGATGTATCCTAGGGTGTTACCATATCTTTAGACTCTGCTAAATTAAACTGAGTTACCTTACACTCCACGTCTCTCTTTTCTCATTGAATGTGGAGTGTCCACAGGGTTGCAGGGATGAATAAGGAGTGGGTAATCCTTGGAGGACTTAATGTTGAACACAGCCAGCCTCTTCTGCTGGCTCTTCACTGTTGCTCCTCAAGATAAAGTTGGGCCATAGTGCAGCTAAAATCTCAGTCCCCTGTGCTTCCCTGTTTTGCCGGGTTTACACTTCAGCCTCATCCACACACCCTCCCCCTGCATGGGGCCGCATCAAAGCAGCAGGGCTTTGAGCAATTTCCCATAATTAAACCAATGCAATTCTGTCATAGCAAGGCACTGCACCTTAAGGCAGATAATAGCTTTGTAAAGAAGGAAGAGATTTCTTTTCTCATTGTAAATTACATGTATCAATTTGCTTCACTTAAAAAGCACCATCCTTATTTTCCTTAGGAATACCCCACCCATTTTCTATTCCATCTCTTGGTGATCCTGTCTTATTTCAGTGGAATCAGAGTATTTCCTCCCCGAGTGTCTCATTAATAGCTGTATTTGCTGACAAAAGTGGTAGGTTTAATAGAGCCTCCCATTCAAACTCATTGTGAGAAGGGTTCCCCTTTATAGACAGCCAATTTCAACATCCCGCCTGTACGAAAGATGTGCATGCTATAGAAGTTGGGTTTGCACCATTGTTCGGTAGCAAAAGGCAGGAAATTAAAGAGGCAACATTTCAGTAAAAGAGTGTGTGTGCTTTCTCTTTACCTGCTATTGTTGTAAATGACACTGAAGATCATTGCAAGCTTAAGAGCTGTTTTTATGCAGAAGAGATTTGCTTTTTATTTGTCAGTGAATGTATGTGCTACATTAGGCAGTGCTTTGTATTTAGTCAGCTTTACTGTGTAGCCTGTTTGGAAGAGAAATATAATTATGAAAAATTGTAAAACCATAAATGTTTGCAGGAGATTAAAAGGAATTCAAGTTTGAAACCATTTTAATACATTTTTCAAAACTGTCTGTGTTTCAAGTTACTGTCTTTAGTTACTGCTACAGTGCCAGGTTATGTGTGCATTAAACTGAGCATGAGTCCCTGAGGTTTGACTTAATACAATTTATGTTTAGATTACCATTAAAAGTAATGTCTCATGAATGGTAGACATTCAATCAGTTATTCTGAATTTCTTTTGTGCAAAATATTTGCTGTCATCCTCTATAAAAGTAACAGCATTCAATTACTTAAATACAAATACTGAAGTAATTTTTTTCTGTTTGTTTTCTTTTGGATGTAATTACAGAAATGTGGGAAATACTTTTCCAAGGCTTTTGAACTCAAAAGTGGAACAGAAGGAAGACAGGGGGACATACACCGTTCAGTGTTATTTTCCTTGCACAAGAAAAAAAGATCATTATGAGATGAGCACTAAAGTCTCAAGTTTTCAAAGGTTTGCATAACAAACAAGAGACACATTGTGGGTTGCATCTTGACTTTGAAGGCTTGCCACTGTCAACTGAAATAAAATGGCAAGGTTTAAAGCCTTAACCAAGTTCACAAGGAAAATATTTGGACTAAAAGTTTTGGAAAGTTTTCTCTCTTTGAAGTAGTTTGTCATGTGTTACCAATGTGAACTTTATTGACCTTGAAACATTTTTTTTTTGAATCAAATAGCAACTAGTGACACTTTAGTAAAATCTTAAATCAACAACCATCTCCTGGCGGCTCCAGCTTCGTAGCAAATGCAGGCAAAACAGGGAATCTACAGAAGAGACCTTTATTATTTGTAAATGAAGCCTGCCAAAACCTTCCCGAAATAGCATTCAAAGACCCTTTTAAGGTCATGGATCCTGAACAAAGCCAGAAGAGCACAAAAAAGGCTGAGGAAAGTCCAAGAAAGAGGCTTCCCAAAGGAGAGGCTTTCCAAGCCAGTATTTCATCCGCAGCTACGTACCAGGGCAGCTCTGCTTCTTCGCAAGGAACCCCTCTCCGAGATATCATACCACAGCAGCACTTTTCTGGTTCTTTGCCGATTCCAAGAGAGGAGTCTCAGGAGAAGACTGGACATCAGAAGCAACCTAAGCCTTCCTCTTTTGAACATCCTCCCCACGTCTCGCAGCTTCAGCAGCACCCACTGTCACCAGCATTTATGTCTCCTGGGAAACCAGAGCATGTCCTTGAAGGTCCCACATGGCAGCTAGTTGATCCAGTACGACCAGGTCCCTCTGGCTCCTTTTCATCACCCGGGCTTCACTCTCACCACGGCCAGCTCTTACCTTCCCATTCACCGATCATTCCTGGAGAGGACATGCCGTCCGTTCAAAAGGTCTATATCCCTCGCCCTTCGCAGGTTTCCTTAAAACAAGCTGAGGAAGTGCACAAGAAGGAAAAGAAACCTCAGAAGCCAGGCAAATATATTTGCCAGTACTGCAGCAGGCCTTGTGCGAAGCCAAGTGTGCTCCAAAAACATATCAGGTCACACACGGGTGAGAGGCCATACCCTTGCATTCCATGTGGCTTTTCTTTTAAGACTAAGAGCAATTTGTATAAACATAGGAAATCTCATGCTCATCGAATAAAAGCTGGGCTGGCCTCAGGGATCGGAGCAGAGATGTATCCATCGAGCTTGGAAATGGAAAGGATTGGTGGGGAGGACTTCGAAGAGCCGACAGAAGGAGAAAGCACAGATTCGGAGGAGGAAACGGGTGCGATGTCGGGCCATTCGGTGGAGCTCTCACCCAGGCGGAAGCACACCCTGTTGTCCAGTAGTTTGCTGAGTGGAGGGAGCCAAGGCTCCAGCCACGACCGGTGTTCGTTGTCTCATTCCAGTATGTCTCAGTCTCTTGAGGACAGCACCCAGTTTGTGGAGCCATCTTCAGACCATGCTCTGAGCCATAAATCTGAAGATACCCATACTATAAAGCAGAAGCTTGCACTCCGCTTAAGCGAACGGAAGAAGGTCATAGATGAACAAGCTTTCCTGAGCCCTGGGAGCAAAGGGAGTACCGAGTCAGGCTACTTCTCAAGATCAGAAAGTGCAGAGCAGCAGATCAGCCCACCAAATACTAACGCAAAATCTTATGCAGAAATTATTTTTGGGAAATGTGGTAGAATTGGGCAAAGGACTGCAGCGTTAGCTGCAAACACAACCCAGGGGTTTCCGCACCTGTCTACCGAAGAGAAACCTAGTATGGTACCGTTATCTGTGCCTAGAACACAGGTTATTGAACACATCACTAAGCTAATTACAATTAATGAAGCTGTTGTAGATACCAGTGAAATAGATAGCGTTAAGCCTAGAAGAAGCTCTTTATCTAGACGTAGCAGCATTGAATCTCCAAAGTCTGGTGTATATAGAGAACCGTTTCAGTTTGATATCAAGTCTGGTTCCAGTAGCCAGTTGGATGCATCGAAAGTGTTGACATCCCACAGTGAAAAAATTAAGCCCGAACAATCATTGTTGTCACTTCAGCAATCCCACAGTGCCACAGAGACAGTGCCTCTCCTAAGAAGCCACTCAATGCCTTCTGCTGCATGCACTATAAGCTCCCCACATACCTTTAGAGGTAGCTATTCATTTGATGATCACATCATGGAGCCTGAAGTCTTAAGCCGCAGTCAAGCGTTTTCTTCCCATCCTCGAATGCTAAAACGACAACCAGCTATTGAGCTACCTTTGGGAGTAGAATACGTCTCGGAGGAGGTTAGCTCTGCAAACAAAGAAACTGTTTCCAAACCTCCTGAGGAACCTGAAACCAAGGAAAGCGATCTTACCAAAAAGTCAAGGAAGGGTCCGAAAGTTAAAGGGTTCATGTATGAGTGTAACATATGTGGTGCTCGGTATAAGAAAAGGGACAATTATGAAGCCCATAAGAAATACTACTGTTCAGAACTGCAGGTCTCAAAGCCTCGCTCTTCCACTTCCCATACCTCTTCAGAGACTGAGAAAAGTGTTGCGGATCCTGACACGTGGCCCCAGATGATGCATTACAAGCTAGGGAGCAGTTTGGAGCTCACCCCCCTCCGAAAAAGACGAAAGGAAAAGAGTCTCGGTGATGACGAGGAGCCTCCAGCTTTCGAGTTGTCTGACACTCCCTCCTCCAGTTCTGGGCCAGGGGCTCAGTTTGCAAACCCGGCATCATCCGATGTCGCTTTAAACCTAACCCGTGAATCCGTTAAGTCACCAGCAGATCCGGGTAAATCCGCACCTTCTGATGTCAGTGCCAGCTTTCATTCCAGGAATACCAAACCGGCTTCGAGTGCGGAGGGCAAAGAGAGAAGAACAACCGCAAAGGAGATCTCCGTCATCCAGCATACGAGCTCCTTTGAGAAGTCTGACTCTATCGAGCAGGCGAGCAGCTTGGAAGGAGAAGAGAAACCCTTGTCACAGTACTCGTCTCAGCCAACACCCCAGCACAGCCGACCGCCTCACTCCCTGCAGCCCAAGCTGGTACGCCAGCCCAACATCCAGGTCCCAGAGATTCTGGTCACGGAAGAGCCTGACAGACCAGAAACGGAGCCAGAGCCTCCTCCGAAAGAGCCAGAGAAAACGGAGGAATTTCAGTGGCCGCAGAGGAGCCAGACCCTTTCTCAGCTCCCTGCAGAGAAACTCCCACCAAAAAAGAAGAGGCTGCGGCTGGCAGAAATGGCTCAGTCCTCCGGAGAGTCCAGTTTTGAGTCGGTCTCTCTCACCCGAAGCCCGAGTCAGGAAAGCAGCATATCCCACGGCTCCAGCCACTCTGTGTCGTTTGATCGTGAAGATCACAGCAAGTCGGAGCCGACCAGCCAGCCCTCTGAATCCCACCCAAAGCCTCCTGGCGTTGGCTCACATATGTTGATGGTACCAAGCCACCATCATCATTCCAGGGAAATGCGGAGATCTGCCTCTGAGCAGACACCGAATGTGTCACATCCTTCCCAGATGTCAGAGACCCGCAGTAAATCATTTGACTACGGGAGCTTGTCGTCCACCCCTGCCTCAACCCCCGGCCCCTCAGCCTCCTCGGCTCCACAGGAGAGAAGGAAATGCTTTCTAGTTAGGCAGGCGTCCCTCACTAGACACCCGGAGCATGAGCCAGACTCAGCCCCAACAGGCCGGCCAGAGGCAGAAGATCCAATTCCTTCTTCAAGTAAACCTCCTTCAACAAGTTTGCCCCATCAGCCAACGCCTTCATCCCCTTTGCCCTCTCATGGTACCTACCCGAGTGAAAAGAGTCAGCCAAAAGACAGCCCTCCGCCAGCGTATACCCAGCCATACACAGAAGCTCTGCAAGTGTTTCATCATCCCGTACCACAGCTAACGCTGCACGAAAAGCAGTTCATGTCCCCACAAGTTTCTATCCCAGCACCTCCTGCCACAGCCAGGGCAGACTGCAGAGCTCTTCGCCGCGCACACTATGTCTGACATCCTCTCCGCTCAGTTCACCATGCCTCAGATTCCTCCTTCCATATTTCAGACCCCACCACTGCCTCTCCCGCAAACGCTCGTCCACCCGGGCCCGCTTCATATCGCTGCTCCCTTAATGTCTCACCCTGCTGAGGTGCCCTTCAGGCAGCATCCTTCATTCCTGCCGGTGCATTATCCTGGCTCCTCACCAATCCCTTCAGCCTTTTTTCTGCCTCTTCAGTCTCAGTTTGCTCTCCAGTTGCCAGGTGAAGCTGGTGGACATTTACCACAGATCAAATCCAGTTTATTCCCAGCAGCAGGAACCTCCAGTCTTTCCCCGTGCACAGAATACGGCTCAGACAGTAGGTTGCATCCTTTGACCTGCACGACAAGTCCTTCGGTGTCCATATCCGCATCTCAGCTTGTTGTTCCTTCGCGGTCAGACCCAATGGTGTCGCTTGTAGTCCCCGTTCGCATACAGACAAATATGCCGTCCTATGGGAGTGCGATGTACACAACGCTTTCCCAGATTCTGGTCACTCAATCCCAGTGCAGTTCCTCTTCTATCGTTCTCCCAAAATTTGATGATCGCCAGCCCAAGGGTACCCTGGTCTGTAGCGCCGATGTTCATGGACTAGGCTTCGATCTGGCACAGATGATCACAGAGGATCAAAGAAGCATTTTCCAGAGCCCATATCTGAGAGTGCCCTTGCCCTTACCAGAACGAAAAGGCTATATGCCACTCACCTCCCCATCAGACAGCATCCTCGGACTGGAAGGAGGCCCATCAACGGTCGGTGGAAGCAAAAGGATGCTCTCTCCAGCTGGTAGTCTGGAGCTGACAATGGAAACACAACAGCAGAAGAGAGTGAAAGAGGAGGAAGTGTCTGAAGCAGAAGAGAAGTTGGAAGTGGTGAAGCCACCCAGTGCAATAGAAGAAGGGAAAAAGCAGGATAAATCTCACTTTATTGCAGAAAGCCAAGGCAGGGTCGAGGTTGAAACACCACCTAGTTTGTCCTTAGAGCAGTCGGAGCCAAAGGAAATCCCGAGTACTTTGCAGCAAGCTGTGTCCCATTCAGGTTCTCCAAGTTTTGAGGCACTGGAAGAGTATAAGCAGCCAGCTGGCAAGCAATTCCTCAGCAAGGCACCTTTGCAACCTGTGAAGAAAGAAGACTCCAAAGAACTGGTGGAGCAGTCTCCACCAAACCCTCCAAGCCCTGCACCTCTGTCTGAGGTCACTCATAGTGCAATGAAGTCTCGAGAAGGTACAGATACGAAGAAGGTACTTCAGTTCCCCAGTCTCCACACAACCACTAATGTCAGTTGGTGCTATTTAAACTACATAAAGCCAAATCATATCCAGCAAGTTGATCGACGGTCTTCAGTGTATGCCAGCTGGTGTATTAGTTTGTATAATCCCAACCTTCCGGGTATATCCACTAAAGCAGCCCTGTCCCTCCTGAGGTCCAAGCAGAAGGTGAGCAAGGAAACCTACACCATGGCTACTGCTCCACGTCCAGAGGCAGGCAGGCTTGTCCCGTCCAGCTCCAGGAAGCCAAAAATGACAGAGGTAATGCAATCCTATATATTTCTCCTCATCCATTTGGATACATGGGAACAGGGGGACGAGGGACGGGGAATTGCTATTCTTAGTTTAATAGGAGTTTATTCATCCCTCTCTCAGTTTGGTAAGCACTTGTTCTCAGTGAAACTTTTAGAATGAAGAAGCTAAAACCCACTGTAATCCAAAAAAAAAAAAAAAAAGGCAAGCCTGCTGCAAGGCAATGTGCCATATTTCTTTTCTCCAGTTTCTACTTGCCTTGTAATCAAAAGAGCATGTAGGAATCACCACCGCACCATGAACTGCCACTGCTCAAGCACAAAGGATTAGACTTGATTTGCATTTGTCTTGATATTTCAAATAGCTTTACAACTTTTTTTTTTATAAATGCTGTTATAATTCCCTACATTTTGCATGTTATAAATGAAAAAGGATTACCTTGGGGAAATGGGATTCTGTCTGGTTGTGCATCTACTGATCTTACATTAATGAACATGGAGAGGCATGCTTAAAAGTATTTAAAAATATTAAAGGGAGATTTGCAAGTGTATTTAGGCGCCCAAAGAAGCGTAAAGGCATGCAGTGACATTTATAAAAGTGCCTCAGTAGGTTAGACATGGAGTCTTGTTAAAACACCCGTGGTGTTTAGTCCATTTAGTTAATGTCCTTAGCTGTCTACCTGCTTTTCCAGGTATCTCAGAATATTTTATACCAGACTCTAGAGTTAAGGGGAGCAAGGCAAATGGCTTCACAGGGGCAGAGCTCACCAGAGGCATTGGCCATATGGGCACAGAAGTCTTTAAGACACTTCTGGTAACTGCCTAGTGTTTTGTATCTCATTTTGAGGCCAGACTTTTCCCCTCTTGGTTAATGCTGAACTGTACAGATCCCTTTAATCCAGATCATGTTCATGTAGGTTAGCAAACAGAATTGCTCTAAAGATTTTGCAATTTGATATTCATCTCAAGTCAATTTATATTGATGGATTATTCATTTTATTTCTGTATCATGAAATGAACTCTGAATATTAAATTTATCATAATCGCTGCTGCAGCTGCTGCTTATAAATATGTCTTAAAATACACAGTGGAGTCACTTTGATTCAATAAATCTTTATTTCTATTCAGCATTTCCATCATTCTTCTGCAGAAATCCAAAAGACAGAATTTCTGGGGACATATAGGCAGATAATTACCTGTGCAGTGCAATAACCACACTAATGCTTGATATTTATGCACTCTTTTTCAAAGGATTTTATCTGAATGGTGTCGCACAATCCTTGATTTCATTCTCTAATAGAAGTGCCTGTGCTCCTCTGAGCTTTGCTTTTTGACATGGTGCTAAAATGCACACCAGGTGTGTGTTTCAGAATTAACGAGACCCTCATACCCTGAAGTTAAAGGTTAAGCTCTAGACAGGAATGGTTCAGCCCTTAGTCATCAAAATACATATTTCACTGCATGCGTTTGCTCAAAAGACTCAAAAACTTTTTAGACAAAACCCTATAAGCTGACTGGTGGTGAAAGTCAAGGTTTTCACGGTACAATTTGCAAAAGGAAGAGTTTGTTCTGCCAAATTCACCTAGAAAATAGTGTAGCCTAAATCTAATATTAATACCTGCTGCTTAAAGGAGTGGGGTTTGCAGAAATTATGTTAATTTCAATGGAGATAAATTGACCTTATGCCAAGCAGAGAAATAATTTTTGATTAGACGATCAGTGGGAGGGAAACCCTCAGTTTAGTTTTTAAAATACATGTGACTGGCACAGATTAGGAAGTAGCGTTGCTGGTTGCTCAGGAAGATACAATTAACAGGAGCTGCGTAGCAGTAACATCAATCAAAGGTTGAAAGTTCAACCTTTGGTTAACTCTGCTCTAGCTATTTCCCTTAAATATGTTCTTCTTCATGTAACTATAAGTTATCAGTCAACACAACAGAAAATGTGAAACAGCTCTAATATTTTGTACAATTATGCATGCAGCAAGCTACCAGCAAGCAGTAGTACTGTATATACTGTCTACGTACTTGGCTTGGTTTTTAAATTACCTGTGGGATTTACTGAGCAGATCAATTCTGAAGTGACTGTAGGCTCCAGCGTGCATGTAGGGATGGCTAATTACACTGTATCGGGCTTGCACACTTTGTAAATTAAACAAGATTGTAAAAGGGGATAGTAGTGACTGTATGATTTTGGCTCTCTGTGGTGCCTTTCATCTGTCTATGTTTTGTGCTTTCAAAAGTTGCAATAAATAAACCTCATGCTACATCTAGAAAGTCAATTGTTTTGTATTCCTCAGTAAATTAGGAACTGAACTGGGAAGGTTATCACTAGCATTGTTACAAGCGTGTAGCTCATATCAGGAGGTGAAGTCATAATGGCCAAGGTTTAGTTTTTGAAGGTGCTCAGTGTGTCTCCTGCCACTGATTTCCTCCAAGCGCAGACGTCTCCATGCCCAGAGACACCAGGTTGAGACCGTTTCTGCTGTTAAATTGTTAAAATGGTTCCTGGCACAGTTCTGTCCTGGGCTGATAGCCCTCTCCCGAGACATTCCTGGACACATTTAGGGAGATAGGACAGGACAGGGACCACTCCCAGGAGGCATCTAGGAAGGGTCTATGGGTCTGATGGTGTGGACATGGGCTAATCTGTGTGACCTGGCCCTCAGGGCAGAGAGCAGTCCCAGGTGCGTTTAATTTGCTAAGCTGGGCAAATTACTGGGCAAATTTGAAATGTTTGACCTCAATTTTGCAAAGCTATTTTTTAGTGAGTCCATCCCTCCTCCTGCTGCAAATCTGATGGTCGTACCAGCAGCATGCTGCTGTGGAGGCTGGGTTACATCCCACTGAATTTTGCATGTCTCAGTTTGAGCTAGTTGCTCTTGGCTTCCCGTATAACCATGGGAGACAAAGAGGCACCTCTTGGGTGATTCATTCCCCCCTTAAGATAAGTGTCTAAGGTAGGGCAGATGAATCACCCTTGAGAGCTGCCACTCTTAGGGTGACCAGCTCTGCTTTAGACTTCTGCCAGTTTGTTGGCTACGTTCAGGCCAAAATCCCTCTAATAACCCTGGTCTCTCAAATGCCTTTAGTCTTTTCCATAAATTATATATAAAGTGAGGATATGGATAATTCAGTTGAACTTCAAAGATATTCTTGCATTTGTGTAAAAAGTAACCTGGGTGAAAGGTAATCTGCTTTCCTCTTTCAGAGCTTTGGAGACCCCTGTTATTTGTACTGTTAGGTTGTAGGGGGACAACTTCCCAAGATTTCATTCCAGGTGTGGGGAGCTCCCCTTGCATCGTACAGAGCTAGAGAGGAAGCTCTAATGTTTAGGTCCGTATACTATAACAAATAACGTTAAACATGCTAGATGAGATGTCAGTGCATGACTTGAACCTGGGTCTAAACAAGGGGTGGCAAGTTTAACAGCGGAAAAGAAAATTCCACCCTGGGAACATCTGGGGAGGTTGAGGATTATTTTCTCCCATTGGTTTTGTGGCTTTCTCTGTACTGTGCCCTTGGCAACAGGGTTTCGTCGAAAGGAAATCACCCGAGAGCTTTGACTGTCAAGTGATTTACATCGAGTTTAGATGGCTAAAGTCCAAATTTGTGTGTATGTGGGGGAAACCCAAAGGCTGAGGTTAAATATATGAATTCTACAGATGCCTCGTCTCTAGACCTTTGTAGATGTATGTATTAGAGGACAGAGCAGTGGATTTGGGAACAGAGACCCATGGCTGCACCACACGCTCAGAGTGACCCCAGCCAAGACACTTCTCTTTATGTCTCAGTTTTCCAGTTGGCAAGAGCTGGATAATATTGAGCCACCATATGCAGGGGGTGCTTTAAAAACTTGTAAGCGGTCACTGTAAATACATCATAACCAGCAGGGCTCAAAATCCAGAAGCAGAGGCCCTGTTTGTTAAGAGGATGTCCTAATTACTGCACTTAGCTGTCAGGAGCAGCGTGTGCGGTAGGTTGCTGGCTCTTTCTGAGGCTGTTTGGTCTGTGTCTGTCTTAGAGTGATTTTGTGTGTAATCAATGATTGTTTTGCTCTTTTGGGGAGATAGGTTCATTTGCCTTCGCTCCTTTCTAATGAAGGTCGAAAAGATATAACTAGAGCTGAGAAGGAAGAGGATAAAAGAGGAAAATCAGAAGAAGAGGCTCTTGTGACCAAAAGAGGGGAGCCAGTCAGGATCAAGATCTTTGAAGGAGGGTAAGTGTCTCATTTTATTTCTCTCTCTGTGTCACATTGTGTAGGAGTTACTGATAACCATGACGGCAAGTCAGTGAAGGTGCCACGTGGAGGTGAGCAGGAGAAGGCCAGATGTAGTTGGATTTCAGCTTACTTTCCACATCCACTGTAAAAACCTGGCCCTTGAGATCAGTAGATACTCTGGACTGCATTGATTTTCTTTTTCTGAGTTGTCTTCAAGTTAGCAAGCACCTCGATCTCCTTTCCGAGCGGGTGGTTGAGCGAAGATGGCTGAAGAGCACAAACACGTCCTGCAGCTGTCTCTGATGTGACGGGGTGTGCTGCATATCTTCGAAATCTTTCCAGAGCCTTCTCCTGAAAATAATGTTCCTAATGGTTGTTTCCATTAGAAGGGGGATCTGGGGAGATCTTTTCTGATGCCTGGGTTTTGGGTGGGGGAGAAAAGAAAGATTGTATTTATATTATTTTAATCCCACCCAACCAAAGTAGCTCAAACCAGAATGGATGCAAGATCTAGATTTGATGTATATCTTAATTCTCGGCTCCAGGTAATTCAGAGTACTCTTCAGTAATTCAGCACTGGTCTAATACTACTGTTTCCCTTTTCAAAAATAAAAAAATCAGCTAATAAGTAGCATGTCTGTGGGATACAATTAAAGTTCATACTTCAAGATCATCCTTCCTGTCTGTTGCAGAGGGGGCCAAAGCGATCTAAGAAATCCCTAGCAGGATTCATCAGTTCTACTCTTGCTATTGGGTGGTCTTGTTTTTTGTGTGTTAGAAAAAGGCTTTAATTAGTCAGTGGTTGTGGTTTTCTGCTGTTACCAGTTGAAGTTTGCTTTTATTTTAAAATATTTCATTAGCAGATGATCAAACTAGGTAACCAAAAGAGTAAAATAGTGCTTTGGGAAAGGAAACCTGCTTGTTTGTTCAGGACAACTCACCTCTCACCCAGACTAGGCGCTATGAGCCCAGCTCAGGTTCAGATACGTGCTGGTTGTAAGTGGTGGATGCGGAGGCAACCTGCAATGCTTGTGACCTGAAGTGGTTTAGGGAGGGAGCCAGGGAACGGCAAGAAAGCAACAGACAGAAATACGATGGGTTCGGTGCGTTGCCATCACCCTCCTGTAGCAGATAGGACCCTGGGACTAACTGCGCGCCGGGTTTTATTTCCTTAAAGCCCACGAGAAGCCTCTGTTCCCCTCGACCGGGTTGTCCCAGGGCTGGAGCCGTTTCAGGGGGACTCTTGGGCTCCTTCCTAGATTAGAGAGGCTCAGCGTTAAGGTGAATGAAGGTCACCCTGCCCCTCGCAGAGCAGCTCTGCGGAGCTTTTTTGGGGAGCGACGCGGGGGTGCTGGGTGCCGGCTGCTCCCCGACTGCCCCCACCGAAACGAGCCGCGTCTCCACGTCCCTGCGCTCACGTGGGGAGCTGTCTGCGTCCCCGAGCCCAGCACAACAGATGTGGAGTCACATTTTCTGAACGACAGACGCAAAATAAAGCAACTTTTCCAACATGTTCTGTGTAAGCCAGCATCAGGGAACGTATTAGTCATCCTGAACGTATGCTATGTTTTATTTTAAAGTTCCTGTAGCACTGACTTAAGGCAGCCGTCCTTCTGGATGTGAGACAGAATGTAGTAGCTGTTTAATGCCAAGCACAGGCACTAATGTAACACACCAGGTCGCAGAAATAAATTTTATATCTAAACTACATGGCATACGCACTGGTAAGAGGTTCAGGCAGGACAGGCTGTTCTCCCGAGGTGCTCGGTCCATACCTGGTGGTCCATGCCTAGTTCCCGCAAGGTTTCTGGTGTTGAATTTTTCAGCCTCAGCAGCTTGTGTCTGCGAGGATGTTTTCTTGCAGTGAAGGAACAAGCCTGTAGATGAATCCGCAGGGTGCCTAGTGCTTTGTGCAAGATACTAAATGGATCAGAGACCCCTTTCCTGGCCATCTCTTGAAAATGTTTTACAAAAAGTGCATCCATCCTCAAGATGTTATTTCACCGTCTTTTTTTTCCCCATAAAAATTTCCTTCTTGTCTCATTTTTCCCCTTATTTATTGTTTTCACATGGTCTGCTGCTGGCTAGACCATCCTTCCAGTGGGATGCAGTTGGTTTCAAATCTTTTGGAGCCATCCCATTCTTTGTTGCCTCAACCAAGGAGGGAGATTATAAAGAAATTCAAGTGTTCTCACAAAATGTGAACTTGCTGCGGCTCTTTTAGCTCCTTCTTCCCCTCAGTTTTTATTTCTTTAGAGCTCTTGCCTTTCTCACTGCCATTTTCAACACTTGCTTTTCCCTCTCTACAGTCTTCTGGCCTCCCCAATCCCATAGCTGCCTTTCCCCCACTGCTACATTCCTTATAGTACTGCCAGGACCAGCTCTGCTACTTTCCCTGCTGCTGTCCAGCCTGCTGGCTAGAGTCATATTTCTTGGCTTTCAGAGAAGACCAGAAAAGCCAGATTTCATACTTTCATCATACCCACTGCCCATTTTTAAAGAACGAACTGATGAACCTGCCAGAGGCTCTCGGAGCGTGTGGGGCAGCTTGGCTTCCCTTGCAAAGTCTCTCTCATTTGAAGATGTCTCCTCCCTAGCTATGAAAGTGGATGGTTGCTTTGCTTGTGTTTACCCACTGGGAAACAGCAGCTTGCAGATTCCTTGAGCCTTGAGGTACATTCATGCCTGGGTTTAGGATCAAGGCTCAGTAATGCCATGCATGGGGCGTGCTCGGGCTCAGTTTCTTCCCTCAT